TACGGATTGCACTCTGGTGTCACAGAAATGGTTGGTTGGTACCCATGCTCAGCAATCATAGTCATTGCAACAGCCCGACAAAGCCCTCCGATAAGCGCATCAGGAATGCGATGTTCTCTCGCTTGTGCTGGCCAAGTACGATGTCTGGCACCCAGATTTTATGGCTTTGGCCAAGAGCTCAGGCTGTGCATAGTGGACAGCAAGCTTTCTTGTAGCATCCCTGATGTTGTTCTGGTTCTTGAATGTGGTGTGCGATGACACGTAAATGTACATGTGCCTGTGTATATGTATGTGTACACATATATGTATATATACAGTATAATGCACACATACATGCGTACACTGGTTATTTACATGTGCAACTGGTTGATCCCGATGAATTTTGCATCATGCCTCAGTGTTGCTTGCACTTTAAGGCAGTTGCCGTGGCTAGCCCCCACCAATTTTTGCTCCAGATACCATGAGAAGAAATTAAGCCATGAGAGGTTAGTACTGAGTCGAAAGGCATGTTTTCCCACTTGCCCAGGTTGCTCGAGGGTTTCAAAGTAGACACTTGCTGCGATTGGGTAGGTTCATGATTCCTGACCAGATTTCGTGTCATATGACTGGCGGGCAGTTTGCCCTTGTGGGTTGTCTCAAGTTCTCGCTTTCATGTGCAAAGCGAACACGTGGGTGTTTGTAGAAACAAAGGAGGCCTCAAGGTGGCTGGTGGTATTCTTGTTTCCCCTTGAGACCATCCCAAAATCGTGGTTGTCCCCTTGTTCAAGCAGAGGCAGGTTTCAACAATCCGACCTTGTTGCTTTCCCACATGGGCGTTGACCTTTTTACATGCATGTTATGCCCCTAGAAGAAGAAGGGTTGAAAGATGGCCCAAATGCTGTTTGCATGATAGAGCCACACTGCTTCCCACTTGCCTCACAATTGGGGAACACTTGCCCCAAAGTTCTGTGTTTCTTTTTGGTTCTCTTCCAAGTCCAACCAATTGTCCCCAATTTCAGTTCACCCCCGCTTGATACTGATGGAGCGCACTACAGCCGCACTGCTTGGAAAGGCACGTGTGTGTCCTAATGTCTTAAAGGGAACCCAGGAAGATCCAACAGCCCCATCCCCAAAGTTTCCATGCACCTCCTACATTTGGCTTCTTCCTCCAGCCTCGCCCTAACAAGACAATCCCCCACACCATGTGTTTTAGTGGGGATTGTGATGTTCACTGGGGGTACGGGGTTTTGACCCAAAGCAATGTGCTTCAAACCAAAACACGACCCCCAGTGTGCGCCAGGGCGCTCTCCCCGTCCCAGGGCCCTTCTCCCCGAACGCAGGGGCCTCCGCCGCAGCTCCCGGAGTTCCGCTCGGTGATGCTGGCGACGCTGCGGTCTTTGGCGCCGAAGGATTGGGACACCGAGCACGAGGTTCGGGGGAGGGGGGAGGGATGTTGGGCAATGCCCCAAAAAGGGTGGGGGGAGGGGGGGGACGCGGGTGGGGCCCTTTCTTGAGGCAAAGGAGGTGTTCTTGGGAGTACATGCAAATTTTCAGGAGCCATGGTTCTTTGAGTGCGAGAATCGAGGCCAAGTTGCAGCCAGCCTCTTTCTTCCCTTCGGATTTTTTGCCTGAGAGTTCCCGGGAAAGTCAACCAACAAAAGGCAAGTCTTTGTGCCTATGGGAAGCAAGAGGCAAGGATCGCTGATTGCTCAATCTGCCCGCCAGGAAATCACCAAGGGATGGATATTTGTTTTCAATGCAGACCTCTGGTAATACCAAATGACCAAGAGCTTTCAAAGGATTTGCAGTTGCACAAAGGGCCGAGCTCTCAGCTCATGGATCTGCTTCATTCCCATTGCGTTGCAAATGCTTCGCGCGGCACAATCATGTGATTTCCCCAAGGGGAGGTGATGGCTCCGGGGGCTGTGATGAAATTTATCTGGACATATTGGAGGCTTTGTTTTTTTGATTGAACTGCGTGACTCACCATTTGTTGATCACTTTTCTCATGGCAGCACACAAGCCATCAAGATCGAGAGCTTGGAGAACTGAAAAGAAGCCAACCGAGGCTTTGTGCCAGATGGCAAGTGTCGACGAATTTCACAAGCTTAGGGATGGGTATGTGTTTTCAATTTGTCCAGACCCCCTTTGTTTCCGCTAGAAGAGTTGGGATTTTGGATTGCCGCCTTCAATCTGCAGGAGGGTAGTTGTTGAGAGGAAGTGTGACAGCACATCGACAAATCTAGCTTTTATCCAAGCCAATGAGCAGCTGCGGTCGTTTGAGGTAGGACTTCTGCAGTTCATGTGGGTGCTTCTAAAAGTAGGGAACCCTTAAAATGCTTGGTTTCATTCTGATTTTCCTTGAGACACTGACCAATAGCGGCTTAACATGTTGAGAACCCTATGCCTATGTCTCCCCTTGCAATCCAGTTGCGCTTTGAAAACTCATGGTGCCGTCGCCTGTTGTCAGAGGCAGTGTATACGCGGGAATTCCAGTGCTTCTGCTTTTCGATCGACTTTGGGGAGCCCCAAATGAAGGTTCCACGTAAATTCGCACCAGACTAAACCTGACTGATCTCTTGGAAATGAGTGTTTCTCCACCAGCAAAATGCTCCATGTTTGGACAAGGGGTCAGTTGCGCAACCCCTTTGCGGCCAGGTGGCATGGAACTGGCTGTGGGAGAACATTGAGCGCATGTTGAAGGCCGTGACCCGGTTCTGCGTTCGAAGATTAAACGGGCTTCGGGTTTCGGTTGGACTCTCGCCCATAGCCACTGGCAATGGAGCTGACGACTAGCTCAGGATTCCTGAGGCCTTAGCATCCTTTGTACGATCCAATGTTTGGAGGTCACCGGGACTGGAGACACTGTGACGGGATGCTTGGTGTGCGACGCTCGCCTGAGTGGGACTTTCGAAAAGCTTGAAGCTGCGACCATATTTGCAGCGTCTGTTGGGGTGCAAAGCTTTCAGGTGGGTTGGGCGGTATGAACATCATGAGCCTCCTTTCATTTGGAAGAATCTCGGGTATACCACTGGCATTGGGCAATCCAGCCCCGGAAGCCAGCATAGCTTTGTTAGAGTTTCGGAGGTGTTCACGTCTCATGTTTTCACGTTAACTTTGGGCAACTTAGAGGGATTCACCTTTCATAGGAAGCCGGTTGGGGGTCGTAAATACTCACCCATCCATGTGCTCTGAGTTCAACTCTTTGGATGTCGAGCGCTCGCAACATGGGCGGCATGGCCGTTTTGGGATTCCTTGAGCCAGGAGACCAGCCCAGAAACGGGCGGGACTCAAAGTGTCCAGGAGCTTCCCAGAGCAAACAGTCAGGCTGCCCAGGCTTAGATTTACTCACAAAGGTCACTGCACATAGGGCGCGCCTTACCAGAAACGGCACACGTAGCTCAGTTCTATCCAAAAACCAAGAGCAATGCGGCCTGTTGGCAAGATCTTGGTGGAGAAGATCAAGAGACATTCCAGGCTCCAGACCTGACTCCCGTCTAAGAACCTTGCGGCTAGGAGAAGCCATTGGAGCATCCGTGGTGGTTCCTTTGGAAGTCTGTAAGAAAGACGACAAGGGGCCGTCACAGATTCACAGCCAGGAAACCAGAGATGTGCCAGTTGATTTGGCGAGATCAGAGCAATAAATACAACAGGAGCCGGCTCAACGTTTCCTAGACAGCTGAGCAGCCCAGCCCCCCCTCCTTTGCGGGGTTGTTTGTTTTGGCGATATACCAGCACTCCGTCAGGCGCAAACGGGGAAGCCGCGGCAACAAGAGCGAGCGCTGGAGAGATTCATCGGCAGCCTTTCTGAGGACATGGTCACCTGGCCGAGGATAATGAAAGTTGCGAAGTGGCGCCCTCCAAATCCGTCCAAATCTGGCGAAGCGACTCAAGCGGGCAACCCAGTGGCTTCGTGTACCTGGGGTAACTGTCGAGGTCCCAGTTCACTGGTCCAGTGCCTGAACCCTTGGGACTTTGGTCAGTGGCAGCTCGATCGGCGCATTTTGGGTGTCGGAGCGGGACCCAGTGAAACCGGATCTAAGGCTGGTGTCGAATGGTGCCTTCCAATCCGTTTTTCGCAGGCGGCAAGCTTCTGTCTGAGGTGAACTTCTTTCGGCGGGAGCTGTACAAGCGTTTCTTCCTGAATGCTCCATCAGGACAGCTGAGCCAGGCTTCGCATTCCACGAAGACGCACGTGCCACATGGATGGATCACATGAAAGCTGAAACGAAGTTTGCTAGGCGGAAGACGCTGCATGGAGCTTTGAATGATTTATGTTCGGGCATGGAATGATTGGAACGCTGCTTGGAGCTTCCCTCTTGGCAAGGCAATGCACATTCGATCTAGCGTGTGCTACCTTCTTGGACCTCATCTTGGCTTAGTCAGGATTTTGTGTTCCAAGCAAGGAAAAAGCAACGGCTTCCCTCCAAAAGGGCACAAACTTGCACTCGAAGCGTAGCCCTCGGATGTGGGATGTTGCCGGGTGCGGATGCCTTCTGCACGCTCTGTTTTTCTGCAAGGGCATGCCAGCAAGGGTTATCATTTGCTTGGAGGTGCTTGAGCAAGACTACCACAAATGAAGGAGCCACCACCTCCAAATCCGCCACGTTTGGTTCAGGTTTTGTTTCGATCTGTGCCCGATTAAGGGTGAGAAAGAAGGACGGAAATCACCATGTAAATGATTTCCATCAAAGGGTGCCCAATTGAAATTCTTAGCAGAAAGCTCCGACAACACTCTTCCAGGACAAGACCACTTCAAGCAGTCGACCACGCGGTTGTATTTTTTGGCCGACCGCATGGTCGAGATCACCATGGACATGTTCCGGCGCCCGCGGAAGATGGTGCAGGCGCTTGTTGGGCCCTTTTGCAAGCGATGGTCATCAACCCCCAACATATTTTAGGCAGTATGAGGCTTCCGCGGATCCCTCTTAAGGCTTAAAGGAAATCGTGGCCTTAGTTCACACAAGGAGCGTTGACACATGCGGGCGGACCATAAAGTTGGTGACCCACCCGTTTCTTCGGGACCAGTTTGACAGGGAGATCAAAACGACACCAACGTAAAATTCAGGGGTCCCTCAACAACTCGTCAGAAAATCTCCATGCCTCTTGAGCATCCTTTCGAGAGAAGCTGCAGAGCCAGTGAAGTGTGCCTGATTCTCCAAAGCCCTATTTGCCATTTTGGTGGGTTCTACCACTTGGTTTCAAAACGGTTCTAGTACGGCCTCCGCAAAAAAGATAACACCAGCCCTTGCCTCTCTGCAACTCCGTTGCCGCAGTTTTGCGCCCGTGTGGTGTGGTCATGTCAAGCATCTTTTTGGACTAGAGTGGAAGCGGCATAGAAATTAAGATGTGCCTTGGGGGGGTTATTTATGCTTTTCTGGCGCCGACTGGCTGTGCACGGCACCCCGCGGTGAGACCAGCGATGCCCCCACTAACAGTGAACGAGCGGCCGCTTCCATCTCCCATTCGGACAACCCCGCAGGTTTCTAGGCTTCCTTTTGAAGCCAGGTTAAACCCAGTTTCTTGCATTCCCAATCAAAACCTAGAGGTAGAAAGGTGTGGCTGTGGTCTAACGGGAATCTCAAGGCACCCCAGCTTCCTTCAGTTATATAGATTGACACTCGTTCAATTATACCTGCTAGCCTATAGCGACCCGTACGAGCCATTTGCAGTGTTTCTGTTTTATGGGGGTTCCTTCGTTCCAAGAACCTTGCAATGTGATTCCTGAGCACCAGCAACAACCGGAAAACCTTGCAAAACCTCTCGGTTCGTACACCTAGGTGGCTTCCCCACTTAAAATGGCCGTGCCGTTTTGCGGACGCCCGGTTTTCCTTTTGGCTTCCCTTCAAAACCCAGAAAACAGGGGTACCCTTGAAACCAGAACCCTCAAATGGGTCAACGCCATTCCAATTCTTCAACTGGGGCCCGGCTGGGGGTCAGGAGATCAGTGCATTGGGCCTGCGGCATGTGGGCTACGGCATCCCCACAGAACTCTTCGGGCCGCGCCCTGCCGTGGGAGGGACATGGGCAGGTGATTCGGTGCTTCAGACATCCCCAACTCAGCCCAAAGCGAATCGATCTTTGACCTTTTCGGTTTTCCCGTTTTGGCTTCCCATCCTCAGTCATGGCCGGGTAACTAAGCCAAAAAGGGATGGCCGGATTGCTTCCGCCCCCCCTTCCCCCCCCCTCAGACGGACAAGTAAAATCGCAACCACCGGGCTTGCAAGCTCGGGCCCCGACACATTTGCCGAGTTGGTTGCTCTTGCTTTTGGTGGAGTCGCATTACGGATTTCCTACTTACCAGCAAAAGCGGACAGCTGTTTGCATGGGGTCGAATCATGCGGTCCTTGACAGTCATGGAGCTATTAAGCATGATTTTCATCATTTTCCACGGCTAGTGAAACGCCATGTCACTTTCGCTTTGCACAGACGTCTATGTAGACTGTTTCAGAATCATAGTACTTTTGTACAAGTCCTATTGAGCTCATCACAGCCAATATCTGCACGTGGCCTTGTTTCTCCATTGCTTTGAGCATTTGGAGGGACTGACCTCCGTCAGCACTTTTAGATATTGAAGACTCAGGCTTCCCCCCAAAAATACATACCCCCCTCTTTATTTGAATAGATATTGGCTCGGGGCAAACAATATTTATTAATAGGGTAGTTAGGGGTCGACAGGATTTCCCCTTCGGTTCTCGTCCAAATTTGGGGGTCCCCCTTTTCCCGGACACGACCACCATTAAAATCGCAATCTCTGAGTATCGAAGTTAAATACCACTGTTTGTGTTCTTTTGTTTTCCGTTTTTGCGGTTCACAATTACAAGGCGCAATTTAAATCTGCAATGACAATCCATGAAATATATTTAAATTAGGAACACGTAACTAGACATTTATCGTTTTTGAACGTCGGCTGGACAACTCCCAAATGTGACTGGTGGCGAGATTGGCGCGAGATTGGCGCGAGATTGGCGCGAGATTGGCAGGTTTATTTTTGGTTAAGAATTGGCGTATTCTACAAGTAATATTGGGAATTCTGGGGTCGGGGAAAAGAGTGCTTTCACTAACAGGGGAAAGTGATTTCTGAGTTGCTGTTCTGCATGTTCTTTTGGACCCTCGAGCCGATCTAGCCACCAATTACAGGGGTTGCGCCATTTGCGAGTCGGCGAGAATGGGCAAAACAGGAGCAGCTCGATGAGACTAGGACACATTCCCAGAATCTGGGGACCTCCCAAATGGTGGTTTCTTTTTTCGATTTCCGTTTGAAGCCAACGCAAAAGCTTTTTTCGCATCCAAGCAGCAGAGATGCTTTTCAAAAAAAAAACATGTATATAAATATAAATAAATATAAAGCACATATTATATATATATATATGTTTGCTTGTGGATGGTTGAGCGGGCAGAGGTACGTCTCGGCGGCTGTGAGCACCATGCGGTCCATGACCTCGGAGGAGAACGCCGTGGCGGGGTTCCGGTGGTCGGTGACCTTGGTCTCCAAGATCTTGGTGAGGCGATGGCCGGCAAAAAGTTTCGGGAAAAAAAACCGGGCCGGAGACCCAACCCAATTTTTGAAACACCTCAAGAAGATTGGGGGGGGGGGGGGTTCCACCAAACGGCGGTTGGGTTGACCCGGATGGGTGAACCACGGGACTGTTGGGAGGGCTCCAGATGGCACCCAGAATGACCCAGACCCGTTTCGGCCCAGGGAGGGGAATCCTTAGCGGAGGTCAGCAAAGCCATGGGGGTTTAACCATGCCAATGAAACAAGAGGGGTTTTGGTCCCAAGCCTGCGAGTGGCTTTCCGGGAGCGGAAAGTTGAAACATCATGAATCTGTTCCCCCTATGTTCATTCGGTCACCCCCAAAATGCATATTTCCCGCGACCATATATCAACAGGGTCCAGGTCCTGGTGGTTTCCGCTTCGGTCGTTCCAAACAAGGTTCCCCTGGCACAACCGTGAAACATCACGATCCGAGCAAGGAGTTCAGATGGAACCGTAGTCATGTTTTGGGGGTTGTCAATTCCATTGATTGAAAGGCGCACTGCCCTATTGTGAACTTACAGCTTGTAGAGAGTGACACAACATGACACAACATGTCCATAGGATTTCATTTGTTGACACGGGAAGACATGCTTGTTAGGGTTTTTCCGACATCGCAAATCAAGCAAAGGAGTACCCAAACTCGGCCCGGGCCAATGACGGCCGGGCGCGAGCTTGTGAGGCGCTTTCGAAGCACCACATTGGTTGGTTCCTGGACATGTGAAAAGCTGCAGAACCTTGAACCCGAAAAGGGCATTCCAACAGATTTCTCCAGGATGTTTCTTGGGGGTTCATGTTAGTCTGGGGAGGAGCTCTTGAGCCGAAGTTCCACTGGTGCTTGGGAGTCTTGAGTCCACTTCAAAGGTTGTGACGTCCGGCTTTCGATGGGAGAGCCTAGACCTGCATTGCGGATATTGCGTTGTGAACCTTAGTGTGCGTGCCCGCTCAGGCACTCCTGTGTTTGACATAGGGGGCAAATGATGGCAGTCTGCATCTTCGAAGACAGCAATGACACACATCACACTTCTGTTCTTTGAAAGCATTGACTGGCATTGGAGATGTCGGTTTACATCTAGGCGCATTATGTCAAGGTTTAAGCAACATTTCAACATGCTCTCATCCTTTAGTTCACCCTTGTCGGAATTTCCTACAATCACACAGCCCGAGGCAAATACCGTGCTGCGAGGCAAAAACTGTAAAGCTATGAACCTAACGCCAAGAGCGGTTTCAGCACCCATTTCCGTTAGAATTCCCTTTTCACATGAGATCCGAGCTAAGCATTCGCAAGGACGCAAGAGCTAGACTGTCAAAGCACCGAGCCAGGGCTGTGGGGGAGGGCGCCACGCTGGTGATGCGGGCCATCAACACCAACCAGGACTCGGGCTTAAGCGGCTTAAGGCTTAAGGCGTGCCCGGCCGCCAAGAGAAACAAAGCAGGGATTCGGGAAAGGGATGCGGACATCGTCGGGCAATATTTAGATGTATGTTGTTTTTTGCAGGGAATCCTCGCACATCCCCGCTTCCCGGTATCCCCGCGAGTTTGTTTTTCCCAAGTTGCAACTAAGCCATGCCGAAACTTCAGTAGGTTTCTAGTGTGCTCCAATGATCATGACAGGTTTGATCCCCAACTCATGCGAATTTAGGCTGGACTATGGCCCCGAACCCTTGCCAGGGGATTCCCATTTCCCATTCTCAAGAATGGCAAGTGACCCCTGATGACCCAGGGTAAAGCCTTGGCTGCTATTTGGTTGGATCTTTCGCCTTTTCAGACAAGTTTGCTTCTCCAATCAGACAACGGGAAAAAGGAAGCGTGAATGTTCTTTTGGAGCTAAGGACTCTGAACCCTTTTTTTCCTCCAATTTTTCTCCTCAACCTCTCCTCAATGGACACCAAAATAAATTTCACCAGAAAATCCTCAGTGGCTTCCCTGAAAACCTCACGAGAAGCGAGGAGCTGGCGCTGAAGAAGGCCGTTGCCATCGCGCCCCGGGGCAAACGCGCCATGGAGTTGCTGAACATCTCTGCGCCTCAGAGCTCAACGGACCCCGGGCGGAGGTATGCACGTGGAAACCAACGGAAAACCGACGGGAAACCAAGGGGACAGGGGAAGCCAAGGGGAAACCAAGGGGAGTCCAAAGGGACACCAAGGGAAAACCAAAGGGAAAATTCAGGGGAAGCCAAGGGAGAAGCCAAGGGGAACATCCGAACACAGAGATTCAGAGTGGAGGGCTTGAGGCTTTGAAGGCGAGGTTTGAGCAAGTGAAGGTCGGCAAGAATCTTCACTGGTCTTGAACTGGGGAAGCCCTCACAAACTTTCCCTTCTCTCTCTCTCTTTCAAAGAGACCTCAAAACACCCGCAAGATCTTAAGTGATGCAAGCCCTCTAATGCTAGGACTTGGATTAGCAGTGGTGAACACTGCTTCGCTGAGCATGTCTGTCCAGGGGTGAACTCCATTTTCGAGCACACCAGGGATTTTGCAGATCGTCTTCAGGAATCAGGTTGGGTCAGGTACAGTTCAGTGGTGTCGCCAGAGAGAAGCAAATGGCCAAGTGGGGGTTTCTCAAACTTAGGGAACCCGGTGTTCAATGGCTTTAAATGGAAACCAACCGGCAACCACCTACCCTGAGGAATTGGTCCCCAATTTTGAGCAACACCCCAGTCATGAAGTCAGAAAGGACCTGGCATCTCCATCTTTGCATGTTTGTGCTTCTCTGCGCATCGGAATCCGGGCAAGGCGTCCTCAAATACAGGAGCCGACCCGTTGACACCACCAGGATTGCTGCGGTTTTTCGAGGGCCATCCAGGGTCAATTGAGCCACAATCAAAACCCGGGTAGATGAAGGTTAGTAAGGGACCATCCCAACCAGAAATAGCTGCGGCCGCCTTCTTAATGCTTTACCTGGTTCTGGGTAGACCTTTTTAATACCGGGTTTTGATTATGACTCAATCGTCTACCCCGATTCGCTTGGAGCAAGCGGTTTTTTGCGCAACTCCGAGGTGGGCACGCAGTCCATCTCGCCCCTGTTTTGGGCCATCGAGAGCGGGGCGCTAAATAGCGCCAGAGCCATGTACCACGACCGCAAAGCGGCGGCCCGCGCCCGGCCCTGTCCCCTCCAAGAGTAATTTACCCTTCAGGTACGCTTCCACCAAGGCTGCGTGAGTGGGAGGAAGGGCAAACTTAGCGCCAGCTCTTCTGTGCTGTTTTGATTTTCTCTTTCTGTTTTTCCGGGGATGTGCTTGCCTGAGATTGCGTGAGGGCATTCCTCGTGTTTATCCCCAAAGGTCCAAACGTGACCTCCAAAGAGCGGTTGGAGACCTTGGGCAACGGTCAATATTTCCTGTCACGGTAGTAAAGGGGATGACCTGTGTGCCTCAAAGCTTGGAAAATCAGTGTTTCTCACCAACATCCCATGTCACACACACAATGAATATTGACCGTGTTTCAATCTTAGATACTTCTTTTGTGTCGGATCATATCCCTTTGACAAGGGATCTCCCTTTTGGATCCCTTGACCAAGGAGCCCACGCTTGAACTGCTGAAGGGTTGTTTTGGTCTCTGGCTTGATTGTAGAAGCCACAAAGGGAAATCTTGATCCACCCCACAAAGGCGTTTCAACGATACGGATGGACAAAATCCTGCACCAGCTCTGAAGTGGTTCATCCAGATTTCATGGGGCTCATGCATCCCAACTGGTGCAGAGCTGTGTCACACAGTATCATGGGCACGGCCATATTACCGGTATTTGCCGCACAAGATGGGAAGTTTGACGCGCTCAAAGACGCGTAGCGAAATACACAGAATTATGCGCAAAGACTTTACTTCCCCCCTTCAAGTATCAACTGTTTGATCCCTTTCGGATATCTTAGGTTTGAAGAGCGCCTTGGAGATTGCGACGTAACGACACAGACGGTCTGAGCCTGTCATTGTAACAATGGAGTTGCCTCCCCCCTCTCCTGCGTTATTCAACTTCTGGAGTTGTAGGTTTCATTGCTACCGAAGTCAAGGATAAAAGCCGTATCGTGGTCCATGGGTTCCCGAAAAGGTCCCAAAGGACGGTACTAGAGACTGTCGAGGGTTCGAACTGGTCCGAGGCTCGAAGACCTTTTGACCATCCGTGCCGACCGGGACGTATATTATTACGGCTGCGACGACCTCTTCACCAGACATCCCGACATCATCCAGAGGCGTTCGGATGAGGTTGCGGTCGGTCCATGGCAAACATCGGGGTTGACTGAAGAACTACCCGATGTATTGGTGAAGGGGATTGCTTTGCAAGAGCAAAATGTTCTGTGATCGATCATTCTGAGAGCAGACTCAGTGCAAGGCAAATTGTCTAAGTGTGTTTCAGCAATTTGATACCTTTCAGTGTCGTTTTCCTCCAGTCCCAGACGCTTTTCCCCCTGAGATATCATTTCGCGCGCAGGCTGTGCAACGATGCGCCGACCTTGCTGTGGACGCTTCTGGATGGCTTGGTGTGGAGATCCAGACTCACCCACCAGGGCCAAAGGCGAGTGAACTACTACGTCAGGCACTTGGTGCAAGATATGGAGGGGAACGCCAGCCAGACACTAGCATGGCTTGCCAACCACAAAGATCCGAAGATCATTGCGCCTTGCTCAGCTTCTGCGGCTTGGGGATTCGAACCCCGGCTTTGTAGAGGGTAAATTTCCCGGAGCATCTCCAAACCGCCAATCCACCAGTTAGGTGTGGGATGAGGCTTGTTCCTGTTTGTTTCGGGGCGCCGCGCAGAAGAAGCGTGGGTGTTTCTCGAAAGAATGCACCCAGGAGTATGAGTTTGTTTCCTTTGGTTCCCCTTACAACCAAGAGTGCTCAAAATCGGGGAGCCATGTTCCCCTTTTCCCTTAGGTTTCACTACAGATTCATTCAAAAAGGGAGGGGAGAACGCAAGACGTGTATCCACGGGACGGAAACAAAGAAAAAGCACCACATCGACTGGCCAGCCAAATGCCATCACGCCCAGAAG